CTCCTCTGACTCATGGAATTGTCAATTGCCCTCTCGAGTCTCGAGTAAATTCTTACACAACTTTAGAAACACCGCGAAATGTACCAAGTTATTTACAATAAAAAAATCCATTAGCTAGCTCGACTAATATGCAAATATCATGCTCCGTTATGATTTTCTTGAAAATATTGTTTACTTTCAAGACAAGTATCTTATCCGACATATAGAACTCAATTTCACCCGGTACTATTATCAACCACAAATTTTAATTCTCATTCTTTTAAAATCCATTCGTGTGCATGGAAGAGAGACTTTTCCTCTCATCCTTACACTTCAACCCTAGAATCCAAATTTCTTATTCTATATAATGTCAACTTCTCCAAATCTTTTCATCAGATAAGTAAAAATCATTTCTGTTTGCAGGAAATAAAAGGGCTTGTTTTTGCTAGGCATTAATTTCATCATCAAATCCGAGCAAAAATGAGTTCTTCCTGGCTCTCCGCCGCTCTAATAGTCCTTTACTGCTTCCTCCTTATCTCGACCGCCACTGCCTTCAACATCACCAGGCTCCTCGGAAGATACCCCGAATTCAGCAACTTTAACGATCTTTTGACCAAAAATGATCTCGCCAGTGAAATTAATAGCCGGAAAACCATCACCATCCTGGCGGTGTCTAATGACGCACTCGGAGGTCTTTCAGGGAAGCCGGAGGAGGTCCAGAAGGGTGTTCTGAGCAACCATGTAGTGTTGGATTATTATGATACCTTGAAACTTCAGAAAATGAAAAACAAATCTGTCCTTACCACCCTCTACCAAACCACCGGCGTTGCATCCGAGGTATTGGGAGTATCCCAAACCCGTATATGTGAACTTCTATAATTAACCTATACAGATGCCGACTCCTTTGACAACATGAATCTTGACTGCTTTTTATTTCAAGCTATCGTTAATGGTTTTCATGTTTAACCAACATGGGATTTTACAGGGACAAGGGTTCTTGGATGTCAGCCACAAGAATGATGGAAGCATTGTGATCGGCTCTGCCGTCAAGGGCGCTCCGCAAGATACAAAATTGTTGGGATCCGTCGCTGCGCAACCATACAACATTTCTGTCCTCAGCGTTTCTCAACCCATTGTGGCTCCAGGAATTGACAGCGGCTTAAGGCCAATTGCTTCACCCCCAAAGGCAAGCGCCCCAGTCCCCTCACACAAGAAAAAATCTCCCCCACCGGCTGATGCTCCTGCACCATCTGATGATACTACCGCTGATGCTCCTGCCCCGTCTGAGGGTCCTACAGCGGATGCTCCTGCACCGTCTGATGGTCCTACTGCTGATGCCCCTGCACCGTCTGATGGTCCTACCGCTGACGTCCCAACTGCAGATGGTGATAATAAGCCAGCCAAAAATGCTGCCCGAAAGCTGTCCGGTGCTTCCTTTGGGTTGGCAGTGGTGTTTGCATCTTTCCTTGCATTATTCCACTAAGATCAAGAACATAGTAGGGCAAGATTTGTTGGAAAGAAAATAAAAATGAAAACTTATTTTTCATTTTATTTCCTCAAAAATGAGACGAGAAATGTAAATTTAAGCATTTTCTCATTTTCAATCTGTAATTTTGTATAATTAAAAATGGTAAATAAAAAAGACATGTCTGGTTACAAGACAATTTTGCAAGAAACTGCTCAACTCACCCTAAATCAATTTGACATTTGAATAAAATTAGGAATTCAAAAATGCGATTTGTTCATGACATTCTTAATCTAACATAGAGTAGAACTTGGACTTCCTTAGCAGTTGTCAGAAATATTGATAGTCACCTGAAGATAGAATTGAAATGCTGACTATTCAAAGAAGAGAAAGTATCAGCATGAGTTTCCAAGTTTGGACATAATGCTTGATAATAATCGTTTACAACTTTTAGAGCATGTTTGTTACACGGTACTCAATACGACTAGAGATAGAGATTACAAAGAACAAGCTTTTAGCTTCTTCTTTTTTCTCTCCTTTTAAACTTTCCAGCCTGCAAACATTCCATTATAAACATTCAGCATGCGACGTATAATCATATCCAACAATATAGTTTGATTGAATTCCAGTATCAACTTTCGTTAAAAATAACTGTCATCACAGTGACCGTGTAATAAATATCAATTCTCGAGAAGCGGGGAAAGAGAAGTTATCCTCAGAGAAATTATAAACCTGAGGCATATACAGGTTCTCTTTGCTAGTAGTACAATGGAATGCCACTGAGGAAATTCCATACGACACAGCAGCAAATAAACTGCATTACAATTTTTACGTGACATAGCCCTTCCAATGCTTCAAAGACTGAGCAAGAACGCATTTGATAGCATGGAATTAGAGCATTATGATTGAATTAGAGATTAATATTCAATTGAATTTTCATGAATTCTTGTTTCAGGCCCCAATTTCCATAAGCCACACTACAGGAAATTTTAAGCATGGTATCCATGGTATCAATTCTTAAAGTGATTCATAAATTTTAGGACGTGCATCATCAAGAAAGAAATCAAGATTCTGAAATGCTGAACGTAAATGGAGTAGAGTTGGGTGAAAAGAAGAATTGATGAATGGTTTTTTTTCTCGGAAAGCGTATATGGTGTGGGTGGGGGTATATAGTTAGTGCTCAATGTGTTCAACAAAGATAAACTTATTCTCTCTCTTTCTTTCTTCTTTCTATCTTTTTTT